AATGCGCCGAAGTAGCATTCTTCCAACCTGGATTATAAGTGAACACCTCGCTCTTCTCTCCTCTCCCTTCCACCCTTCCTCCCCTTTTCCCTCCTTCCCTCACTTCTTCCCTGCCAAATAACTCATCAACAACTACCGCCACGATGCCCCCCGACGCCCTAACCCCCAACGACCCTCGCGTCACCCACCACTTCACCACCATCCCCTCCACCTCCATCACATACCACTACCTACTCGCCAACCCACCCAATGTCTCCCAACCAGCCGGCACCGTCCTCCTCCTCCACGGCTGGCCCGACCTCTCCCTCGGATGGCGCTACCAAATCCCCCTTCTTTTATCTCTTGGTCTGCGCGTTATAGTTCCCGACATGCTCGGCTACGGCCTTTCTTCCTCGCCTGCTTCTACTTCTGAATATTCCCTCAAAAAGATGGCGGGGCATATGGCTCACATAATCCGGCACATTAACCCTTCCAGTCCTGTCCTCTTGGGGACGCACGACTGGGGCGCCTTTCTCGGGTGGAGATTGGCCATGTACCATCCGGAGTTGATAAGGGGTGTTTTTGCGTTTTGTATTCCTTATACTCCGCCTGACACAAAGGTGAGTAGTTTGGAGGAGTGGGTGGGGGAGCATAGGGAGTTGGGGTATCAGTTGCAGAATGCGAGGGGGGATGTGGAGAGGGCGGTGGCGGGGGATAGGAAGAGGTTGAGGGGGTGGTTGAGGGGGATGTTTGGGGGGTTGATTGAGGGAGAGGATGGGGGGAGGATGGGGTTTGATCCGTGGAAGGGGTTTGATTTACAGAAATTGGAGGAGGTTGGGCCGTCGCCGCTTGTGAGTGAGGAGGTGATGGATTTTTATGGTAAGCTCCCGGTCCCATTTGTATGGTGTTGGTGAAGGGAAGGTTGGTGATGTTGATGCTGACGATGAACGACAGTGGAAGAGTACTCCCGCAACGGACTACAAGGGCCGATGAACTGGTATCGTACACGGGAAATCAACCTTCAAGATGAGCTGCCGCTGGCTGAGGAGTATGCCACCAAACAGTTTGAGGTGCCGGCCATGATTGTCATGGTTGGGCATGATCCTGCGCTGCCGCCGGAGTTGACGGATGGGATGGAGAAGTATTTTGCTAAGGGGCTGAGGAAGGAGGTTATTCCTGAGGCGTCACATTGGGTCTTGATTCATACTCCGGATGAGGTCAACGGGCTTATTGGAGACTTTCTCAAGCAGTTTTTGTGAGGATCAGTAACTGTGAAGGATGGAGGTTAGCTATGGTCTTGCTATCGATCGAGAGAAATAACTCGGAGAACCTCAGAGAATTCAGAGAATTACGACCTTGCATGAAGTCATTGACAGTATCAAAATGCGGGTCTAAAACTCAAGCCCTCTCTTGTCATCCAAAACTCAAGCTGAATACTGCCATGCAGTCAGCCAGTTCGCCGTGGTGGTGAGAATGCCATAATGGCACGGCCATGTCGATTGCTGCCAACAGGAGTGTTGTTCACCTTGCTCGGTGAGAACTATTGGTCGGGAACCGAGACTGTTGAAAGTACGAGATTTGGTTACCAGTGCCAGTCTTGGTGTTTCTTTGTCTCGTAATCATGTGCCCCTGATTGTGTTGGTTGGTCGCTGAAGACGGGAATCCCGCAAGTGATATACACATATCGGATATACGCATACATGCATCCGAACCTACCCCACCACCCCACCAAGCTCTCTGATCAACAGGGGACCGTTGCAGAGCTAAGTTACAGGGCTAATTGTTAGTGCACCCGCTAAAATCAGGGTCTCGATGCTTTTTCCAACATCCCAGGTCATTCTTCGCAACATCCACATCTCCAATCGCGTCCCGTCACTCCAACGCATCTTTCAGCCATCATCAATGTGACCAAGATGCTCGACCCGTGCCGTTAAAAAGTTCCTCGTCCTCCCTCACTCAGTTACCGAAGATTCTTCCGTATCCGAAAGGCCAAAACGAGGGCGCGTCACGACGAACCGCAAACGCCGGATCTAACCAGTCCAAGACATGTTGCCTTTTCTTTGTTGTGTTGGTGGTTGCACCGCGTCTTCTGAGACTCTGAGTCAGCCCCCACGACTTGAAAAGACGGGAACGGGGAGGGACAGCGGCAATCGACAACGGGATATGGGAAAGTGACATGGGACTTTAGTTGCTGACCTGAGACACACAAGATCTTCGGGATCCCTATCCGGCAAATGCTCTGGTCTCAGGGTGCGGAAATGCGCCCGACGTACAGGAAACCGTGTTGGGGTGATGTTTCGTTTATGGTGTCGCACATGGAGAGGGAGTTGGAAGAGGGAAAGGAATAGACAAGAAAGAAAGTGTGCTAATCGTCAATCATAGGTGTTCAACCGCGGCTCAGATTTTCATGCCTCCATCGACCAGCGACCTACCTCGAGCGATGTCGGAATGATCTACGATCGAGTCTCTGTAAGGTCGGAGCCTTACAGAAGTACCGTACATACACCCTGGTTCCTGTGTAGAAGTCAGCCCTATTTGTGGACAAGGCGTCTTCGAGAGGTAGCTCTATCGAACAGACACACGCGGCTTGGCATAGTTCTCCTCGGAATGAGGTCCGGTAGCTCTTAGTACGAGCTGGCTTCTACCTTTCAGGAAGCGACAGCAATTTCCACAGGGCAGTTGGCACCAGGAAGCAATAGAACCGCAGTATTCGCCGAGAGATTTTATCCAAACAAACCATAATTATGGAGTAGAAAAAGAATCGGACGAAGGAAGGATCCGGGAGACAAAAGTTCCCATTCGGTTGCGAGTGAACAACGCGCCGTCCGCCGGAATAGATCGCACGATCATCAAGGATTAAAGCAGGAACAAGTGCTATGAGCAGTCAAGAATAAGCTGGTAACAGTCGAGATCGTTGTAAAAACGTACCACTAACCATTATCGCCGGTCGTGTTTATCTTCGGCCGGTCACCGCCGTTGACTGGTCCGGAAGTGAAGGGCAATAAGCACGGCGGCCGCTGCTGACAAGATATCTCGACGGCGCCGAAGATGTGATCGGCAGTCAATGCTATAATCCATGATTAACCCATCACAGTGGCACATCACCCTCTATGATATTCCTTCCCAACTCATATCTATCACGACTCTGATCCATCATGGCCTTCAAAGTCATCATCGTGGGCGGTGGCCCCATTGGGCTCTACATGGCCCACGCCTTCGAGCGGGCCAACATCGACTATGTGATACTAGAGCAGCAAGACACCGTCCTAAACATCTCAGGGCAGCTTCTCTTCACCTGGCCTCAAACAGTACGCCTCTTTGACCAAATTGGCCTTCTCGATGACCTCGAGAAAGTTTCACTGGGCATCCACCACAAGAAGCGTCTCTTTGGCGACAATGGCCGAGTGACCACCACCAGCAACTTTTGGGATGCCATGCAAGACAAGTAAGTTGTCCCCTTACTCGCCGTTTATCCTTCCTACTAACAACAACAGCCACGGCTACCCCTTCCTCCCCCTCCTCCGCTCCGAGCTCGTCAAGATCCTCTACATCCACCTCAAAGGCCGCGAATCCAACATCCGCGTCAACTCCCGCGTCACCGACATCAAGCCCCACGCCACCGGCGTACACGTGCATCTCGCCGACGGCACCCTCATCCAAGGTTCCATCGTCGTCGGCGCCGACGGCGTGCACTCCCGCACGCGCAAAATCATGGACTCCCTCGCCGCCCAGCACGCGCTCAACCCAGCCCGTCTAGCCAACAAACCCATGGTCTCCACCTTCTACGGCATCTTCGGCCGCGCCTCCAACGTCAATCTGGGCATCGAACCCGAAGTTTTCTTCGAGTCCCGCGGCGGCGGTCCCAACGACGGTGGCGCCGTGGTCCAGTGCTTAGCCACAAAGGACATCGTCCAGTTCGTGACCCTCAAGCCATTGCCAGGTGGTCCAACCTCCGACCGCAGTCCGCGCTACTCCGACCAAGAAATGGAAGAATACGCCACTTCACTTGCAGACGTCGCCGTCTGCCCCGGCGTCAAGTTCTCTGACGTCTGGGCTAACGTCGAGCGCAAATCAACCCGCATGCTCAACCAAGAAGAAGGGTTTCTCAACAACTGGTTCTTTGACCGCATCGTCCTCGTCGGCGATGCAGTGCATAAGAGCACCAGCGTGAACGGCTTGGGGATGACGTGTGGTTTGCACTCCGGCGCCGTTCTAGCTAATGAGCTTCACTCTCTCATCTCCCAACTTGTTGGAAAGGAGGAGGAGAAAAGAGAGCCAACAACAGAAGAATTGGAGAGCGCATTCAAGCGCTACCAAGAAGATCGCAAGAGCGAGGTCAAGCCCGTCTGGAACGGAGGACACGCGATGATCAGGGAGGTGGTGAAGAAGGGGTGGGTGAGCTGGTTCTGGGACCGGTTTGTGCTGCCGTGGTGCGATATGGAGACGTTTGCGAGGGGGTGGTTGGTTTCGTGGTTGTTGATTAGACAGGGCCAGATTTTGCGGTTTGTGCCGTTTGAGGGGAGGAAGGGGAGGGTGCCTTGGGCTAGGAAGGTTGGTGTTGTGGTTGTTTGAGGGTTGAAAGTGGTTGTGATGGGGTTGGTTTCTTTGAGTCCCGTCGTTTACTCGTCGTCATTGCTGTGCTTTTGGTAGACGTTATTAGGTCTTGTTCGTCATGCTAGATTGGATATGTTATCTCTTTGCTTTCATTTTTTGAGACAAATTTCTTTTAGGGGCATCCATTTGAAGTTCCTAATGCTTGAGCCAGACTTCATTTGCTCGACCTGTCAACCTTTATTTCCCCGCGTGAACATTTGTCCATCAATGTGCCATTGCACAAAGGATATGCAAGTCGGCCCGAGCATTTCATCCGATCCTCGGAATTTTCATCCCATCTTCTTAGACACCGGGAAAATCCAAGTGTCGCAACACCCAACACTGCCATCAACTTCAACACCACTTGCATTGCCCCGTTCCAACGCCGACAACATAATCACATCTCCAAAGCCGCATATTCAACCAAAGCCCGATTAGCTCAGCTGGTTAGAGCGTCGTACTAATATCTTGACTCCTCCAAGATATCAAGTCCATGCGAAGGTCAACAGTTCAATCCTGTTATTGGGCAGCTTTCTTTTTTTAGCGGTCTTTAGTAGTGCGGTGGAGACTGTACGAGTCGTAATCTTTTTTGGTTCAGTCCGTATGGACTTGGTACATATCTTGTCGATGGTCTTGGATGGTAGTAGAAACAGCGTCTCTTTTCATTTTAATACCTAGTGATCGAGAGTGTAGGAAGTGTATAGAGAGTTGGGATGAAAGAAAGGGTCTGGATGACTTTGAAGAATGGTCGGGCGTGATGAGATGAACCAGTGGGAGAACCGAAATACGATAGCGACACGAACGGTCAGTAGCAAGGAAAAATGACAGGGTTCAAATGGAATGTCTCGACGGAAGTGAAGTAAGATATATCCAAAGAAAACAAACTCGAGAATGAAACATGTTAGATATTCCGAGCCTGCAAGTCCTCATTGCTGCAAGTAGGTGGAGGAAGACGTTGTGCGACGTCAGATGGATGTACAACCAACACAACGAAGCAAGATTGGCCTCAAGAAACATCCTCTCACACCCGTGCTTCAAAAATTTGTGAATGGCCCTTCTCGCTAGTATCATTACAGCTCTCCGTTCAAAAAGCAGAAATTGGCACCAGGCCGATATCCCATGCAATGAATCGTGCATCAGGAAAAGCAGGCAGAGTGCTTGTCATCGTAGGAAAAAAGATCCAGAAGCGCACGCATACAGAAAAAATGCAAAAAATATTTGAGACTCGGATACCGGGAGTCGAACCCGGGGCTGTTGAGAAAGCAGTCACTCCTAAAGAAGTGAGAGTCAACGATGTTACCGCTACACCATACCCGATTTGAACTGGATATGGTCCGATTTGTTGTTGTGGACGAGTCGGGATGTTGTGGTTATGAAGGTGAATGTCAGAATATTTTTTGGTGTTGTGGGGTTGGGGTTTTGGTGGTGTGGAGACGAGACGGGTCCGGGATCGGGGGCTGGGTCCGAGGGTTGGGGCCGGGATAACATAGGGGATGGGCCGGTGGAAGTAAAAAGGACAGGGGAAAGAATTAAACGGGAAGACGGGAACTTTTGGAGGCAATGGCTCACTATAAGAGAAATAAGAAAATATCTTGTTGAAGCGAGTAGATGATGGTGGCCGAGTGTCCGAGCAGTGTGTGAAGGAATCGCCAAACTTAATGCTTTTCGGCGGAGGATTTATTGTCGGATATATGATTGAAAGGACTCCCGGAGTTTGAAGTCAAGTATTCTACGGTCAGGAGTTGAAGACACTGATAGGTAATTTGGAATGTATGTATAAGTCTATATATTTGATCTATCTATGTCTGTACTGAAGTGTTCTAATAGCAGTAGGAAATGTCTAGCGAGACCAAAGAAACAACTTCTTCTCCAAACCATTATCCGTCCCCTAGAAAGGTAGTCTATAGCAGTCAAATCCAAGCCAAAAGCCAAAGCAAAAGGTCTAAAACACCCATGAGCCGTGAAGCTCATATGCATCACCTATCATCTTCCCCTCAACCAGCACACCTCATCGTTCAGCGCTCAGCGCAAAAGTCTTACTCCCCCAATGGTAGAGCCACCCACTTAAGGGTAGCTAGTAGGCAGCGGGTTGTGGAAGCCAAAGATGGAAGAAGGATCCCACTTCTTCTTCAACTGCGCCAGTCTAGGGAGCTTGTTGCGTCCATAAATCTGCTCAATCGTCTCATCACCATGCGCATAGTTGACATAGACCGTCAAGCCATTGTATCCCGAAGTCTTGGCATAATCATCGCGAAGCTCGCGGCCCATGGCATCAGCGACCGTCTCGACCGGGTTGCCGGGCGCGTCCCAGCGCATCTGAATCATGACGTAGGTAGTGGCGTCTCTCCAGGGGTAGGCGGTGGAAGAGTCAGGGTAGGACATGACGGCCTGGTTGGGCCAGGTCTCGAGGACGACGACGGAGGGGCGAGCCTCGGGCTGCTCTTCAAAGAACTTGGCGAGCTTGTTGAAGGTCTTGACCCAGGTGGCGGCGTCGTGGCGGCGGAGGTTGACGCCGTAGACGTCGTAGACTTGCGAGTTGGCGCACACTTCCTTGTCGAGACCGAGGGTGGTGTCGGTGCTCATCTTCTTCCAGGGGATGGGCTTGATGTCGGTGTACCACGGGTTGAGGCGGAGGAGGGGCTGCATCCAGCGGCGGGCCTCGGCCTCGGAGCCGCCGGCGTAGGTGCTGCTGATGATGATGGTTGGCTTCGCGGTGGTTTCGTTGTAGGCCATGATGGTCTCGACGGTGAGTCCGGGAGGCAGGTACATGTTGGCGATGGTGTTGAAGAGGGTGACATTCTTCTCGGGCTCGTAGATCAGATCAAAGCTGATGATGTCGCCCATGTTCTTGTGCATCTTGTAGGTGGCCGAGGTGATGATGCCAAAGTTGGCACCCGCACCGCGGATACCCCAGAAGAGCTCGGGGTTCTTGGTCTTAGAGGCCTCGACGATGTCACCGTTGGCGGTGACGAGGCGGACGGACTCGAGAGCGTCAATGACCAGACCGTGAACACCGTCGAGACGGCCAATACCAGCTCCGATGGTGGCGCCAATCATGCCGACGCAGCTGCAGGTACCAGTCTGGATCTGGAAGCCAGCATCGTGGACCACCGGGAAGACATCAGCGAAGACGACACCGGGGCCAATGGTAACGGTTTGACGTTGCTTGTCAAGCTTGACATCCTTGAAGTGACTGAGGTCGATGGCCAGACCCTCCTGGCAGTTGCCAAGAGTGGTACCATAGCCGTGACGGCCACCGGTAGCGAGGAAGGGAATGTTATGCTGCTTGGCCATCTTGACCAAGGACACGATATCCGCTTCAGTGGTGGGAGTAATGGCGGCTTGGTACGAGGGTGGGCGGTAGACGTCCCAACGCTCAGTGACACCAAAGAAGCCATCAGAATCCGGGTAGCGGATCTTGGTGGTGTTGGAAAGAACCGGGGTGGTGTCACCGATGATGGTTCTCATGTCCGCACCCTGGCGGCGGTACGCGTTAGTTGCGGGAGAGGCGTTGATACCCCCGGCAAGAATAGCCGAGGTGAAGAGGAGGGAGGAAGTCAAATGCATCTTGAAGTCCTTTGCAGGCTTGTCAAGAATGTTGTTCAAGATTGTGTGGCGGTTCACTGTCGGAAAGAGGCAGCTGTGGGATTGATGCTTGTGTTTGAGTGTTGAAGTGAGGAGTGGATGTTGAGATGATGATGTGAGTGATGATGAGAATAGTCGTCGAGAATGGAAGAAACAGGTCTTTCTTTATACCTCGAGATCACCATTGTTTTGTTGATCTTCAACGACCATGTTGGGTCGATGTCGCAGCTTAACCGACAGTCTTCTGTCTACTGATGGCCGTATAGGGTGAATCTTCGAACAACTTGAGGCTCAACATGATTCATAATGTCGATGCTGTTGAAGCTATCACGACAACCCTTGTAGGTGAGTGAGGCGTTTGCCATTTCGAGGTAGTAAACCTGGTCGAGATAAACTTCAGAACGATATCGTATGCTATTCCACGCAGGAACGAGGCACCAAGTGGCTCCATGGAATGAGTGTCCATTGGCTCATGGTCTCAGATGATGTAAAGATCAAGAGTGTAACAGATCACGAGCCCCAAGGATGGATATCAATACTACCTCAGATTGAACCTTCCTCAACTAATTGCGTATGAGTGGCACAGGCAGCTTGCGTATGAGGCTCTAAGCTATCCGGCTTTGATTGGAGTAGATAGGGTAGACACACGACAAGAGAGGACAGCCTCAATGCAGGAACAAGTCGGTTGTAGGTAATACAACGTGAAGCCATTCACCAGAAACAAGAGCCTGATGGGATTATGCTTTTTTGTTAGCATACATCTCATGGCAAAGAAGTTTGCCTGGGTAAGGAATCAAAGCTTCTATCCGTCAGCTATGAGCTTTGGCTGTTGGTCAGCGTGGAAACGCAGTAGAAGAGCTGACCATACCAAGTAACCAAGATCAGCGACCTTTCTCCTAATCAGGCTCAGAGTAAACAAAGGTACGCTCTGCCTCAAGATCACGGCCGTACCTTTGTTTTGAACTGCCTGCGGGCCGATGAATATGAATCACGTCGAAGGTGATGAATGAGTGTCCAAGTGTGACGTAGTCTCATCTGCCCATAATCCGTTGGGGATCCTGTTGCCATAGCCAATGGGAGGATAGTTGGAGGAGCATTAAGGTTAACGCCTCATGGTATCGTCCAATATCAGGATAGTGTCAACCCCAACCGGGTCTTCGGGTCATCTCTGTTGTGGAAGATTCGGAACTGTGCTCTTGTCATCTTGGCAGGGCAGAGGAAACAGCAAATGGTCGTACGGCTCAGCCGCAATGCTGCGTTCCTGACACTGGCAGGGACCCATATCCCAGACTTGTGTCGATTCCCATGCTTGGTATGATGCCAGATGGAGTTAACCTCCCCGGATCGACTGGGTTTGCATCTTTGGATCTCTGCCACGTGCGACAGGACACTCTGCTGTCGTCGACGTGCCGCTTGTTGCATCGCGGCTTGGTAGTCGCTTTTGACCTATCAGTGACCATAAGATCGCCATGGTTCGAGTCGCTTGTCGCTTTTTTCCGTAGCTGTGCCCGTTCATGGCATGCTTAGATCGTGGTCTATACCAGACAGAGGAAAAAGTGTTGTCTTGTCAAACGTGCTGCGGCGGCACAGCTCAGGGCACAGCTCGCTAGGCTGATGGAGGTGTAACCCAATGCAGTTGCACTATCGATAAGCCCTGAAGCCCTGCGCCCTCAGCTCTTATCGGCCGCTATCAGCTGGCAAGGACCTCACTAACCCTGACGTAACATGTCTTCCCTACAATCCACAGTCCTTCTTTTCAGTTCATCATCTGAAAACATCGACGTCCACGCCGTCGTTCATTTACTCCATCAGAGGTTGATCTGAGGATCGGTTAAGGCTTCAAACGTAAGCATTTCTCAGACTTCATCGACCAATGACAACGCCCGACAAATCATGTCCATGAATCATCAAGATTCACGCCCTCAGGACTAGGCCACCAGTTCC